CCCCAGGCACACAGAAGGTATTCTATTTCTAGGAATCTGCAACTCTTTGAGAGTCCATTTCACTCTCCAAAGACTATTGACTTCTGTTACTAGGAGGAAGGGATCAAGGGTAGCTCGTGGTAGGACACGAGCACAAAGCCACACTGCGCTTGCTTTGAGGAATTTTAGCAAGCTTTCTTAAGGAATCAGGATCAGTAAAAAGAAGACATTCCCAAAGCACTGGCTCTTATATTCCTCTTCCAACCCAAAGTCCTCCAATGTATTAAGAGTACCAAAAATAAAATCCAAATAATCCGAAAAAGTCTCTGGTTTTAATCCTCAACCACACTTTTTTTTTTTTTTTTTTTTTTTTTTGAGACAAAGTCTTGCTCTGTCATCCAGGCTGGAGTGCAGTGGCACAATCTTGGCTCATTACAACCTCTGCCTCCAGGGTTCAAGGGATTCTCCAGCCTCAACCTCCTGAGTAGAGGGGCTACAGGCACACACCACCACACCTGGCTAATATTTGTATTTTTTTTTCTTTGAGATAAAGTTTCATTCTTGTTGCCTAGGCTAGAGTACAATGGTGCAGTCCCAGCTCACTGCAACCTCCACCTCCCAGGTTCAACCAGTTCTCCTGCCTCAGCCTCCTGAGTAGCTGGGATTACAGGCATGTGCCACCACACCCAACTAATTTTTTGTATTTTTAGTAGAGATGGGGTTTCACCATGTTGGGCAGGCTGGTCTCAAACTCCTGACCTCAGGTGGTCTACCCACCTCAGCCTCCCAAAGTGCTGAGATTACAGGTATGACCCAACACACCCAGCCTAATTTTTTAGTAGAGATGGGGTTTCACCTGGTTAGCCAGGCTGCTCTCAACCTCCTGACCCCAGGTGATCCACCTGCCTCAGCTTCCCAAACTGCTGGGATTGTAGGAGTGCGCTGTTGCGCTCAGCCAGCCATACTTTGAATAACCAAAACATACTACTCCACTTTTTTTTTTTTTTGAGATGGAGTCTAGCTCTGTTGGCCAGGCTGGAGTGCAGTGGCGCGATCTCAGCTCACTGCAATCTCTGTCTCCCCGGTTCACGCAATTCTCCTGCCTCAGTCTCCCTAGTAGCTGGGATTACAGGTGCCCGCCACCACACCCAGCTAATTTTTGTATTTTTAGTAGAGATGGGGTTTCACTGTGTTGGCCAGGCTGGTCTCAAACTCTTGACCTCATGATCCACCCACCTCAGCCTCCCAATGTGGTGGGATTACAAGCGTGAGCCACCGCGCCCAGCTTACTACTCCACTTTTGAGAGACTTGGACAGACAAACCAAATCTTACACAGTACCTGGCACATAATAAGCATTCAATGAATGTATAATAAAACAATACTTAATGAAAGGTTCACTTGGTCCAGCCATCTCAGGGAAGGTTTTGGAGGACAGGTGCCATGTTTATTTTATGCTCTTGGCTAGCCAAGACACTACCGGTACCAAGAACTGATTGAGACCACGTTCACAGAAGAGAAGATGTAGCCCCCTCTTCAGGTCTGGAGCCCTGGTGACTCTGTAATTGAGAGATTCAGACTTACTTAACTGGTGTGGGGGAATCATGGATACAATCCTCAGCTTTCAATTAGATGCTGCACTGTGGTCATCTCACAGCTCTGGTTGGATCTCAGATTAGATTCCAGTCTATCTGTAATGTCCTCCTGGCAGAGGCAGCCACCCTCATGACTTTCAGCTGCTAGTTATTACTTTTTTGTGACATTTCTCAAATGTTCATGATTATTTTCTCTATCCCCAGGAAAACCAAGGAAGAGAACAAGACAAATATCTTGTGTGAAGGCCACTAAGAAAAGTGATAAAAACAAGATCCTTTCATAACCACTCTTTTGCTTAACACAACTGAGCTAAAGTGATTCTTTTTTAGATTAGCAAAGCAGTCTAAAATGTCATTTTTCATTAGTGTCATCTTACATAATAATCTGTCACTTTTGAAATCTCTCTGCCCCTTCTGTTCCCGCATATCAGTTGGTTAAAAGTCCTGTAGATTCTCTCTCTACAAAGGGATTCTGTCCTTTTTTCCTGACTTCAGAGCACCTATTTGGTTCAGTCGTTGACAGGATTTGCCTTATCTAATCTATTGTAACCATCTTCCTCTTCTATGTCCTTCCACAATTATACACATGCTCCATACTGTAGCCAAGACTATGCTCCTAGTGCTGGAATCTGTTATTATTAGGCCTGTGTTAGACATACTTTCTTTTAAAAAGTTACCAGCAGCCATTATTTCAGGAAAGCACTCCTCCATCATCCTATTAATAATCCTGCTCAGTCCACTGGGTTCCAGGGACTAACCCCATCCACACCCCAACCCCCACATCCCCTGAGACAGGCACAGGATCCAGGCCATCTGCTGTGGGCCATGTGACTGGTCTGAGATTGAGAAATGAATCATGTGAATGGCCCCATACTGGCCAAGCAAAGTCCTCGCTGGAGCCTCCTGCCAACACGGTCAAGAAAGGCAGTCTCTACTCAGTGACCACAGGCTTCAAGGACTGCAGAGGCTGAACCTGTCTGGGACACTCCCACAGAGAACAAAGCCACACCAAGCCCAGCAGAGGTCAAAGATCATGAGAACCCAGAAGGAGGAAGGGGCAAAGGATCTAGCAAAAGAAAGACATCATTGGCATCCCTGACCCTGCCAAGCTTCTGTCTTGCATTTACCAGTTATGTGAGCAAATAAATGCCTTTTTTTCCTTGTATTCTGAATTGTCTTCTTGACACTTTTGTGCGCCAAATGCATCATAATGCATGTAACCCCACTACTTAGAACTTTTAATAGTTTCTTACTTCCTATAGAAAAACCCAAACACCTTAGCTCAATATTCAAGTTCCTCAACAAAAGAGACCACCTTAGCTATTCAGCTTTAACTCTCCTGTCCCAGCTTCAAGCAGGTCTTTCAAAAATATTAAAATAATGATAATCTTAGAATCATTAACCTTTGCTATAGCCACTAGGTCCTTTGTTCAGAATACTTCCTGAATTGGAATTATTCTATTCTCTCCTTCACTATACTAAGTCTTCTAGACCCAGCACATATTAAGCACGAATATCATACGTTACATTACAGCTTTCATATACACACATATCTCTCCTTGCAGAAAAGAAACAGCTCTTTCTAAAGTTTAATCTCTAGCACCTGACATCTGGTACAGGCAGCAGACACTCCACAAACGTTTACAGCTCTGGTCAGAAATAAAAACTAAGGACTGACACCTATTAGACTCTTAATTCTTCCTTATATTAGAATTTCTCAAATTTAACCGTATCATCATACAATCCAGCAATTACACACTTGGATATTTATCCCAGAGGAGGAGATATATGCTCACACAGAAACTGTACCTGAACATTTATAGCAGTTTTATCATAACTGCCCCAAACTGGAAACAACTTAGATGTCCTTCAATAAATGAATTGTTCAATAAAGTGTGGTACAACCATACACTGAAACACTATGCAGCAATAAAAAGGAACTACTAAAATATGGAACAACAAAAATAAATCTTGAGGAAATTATACTGACTGAAAAACAATGCCAATACCAAAAGGCTCCATATTGTATAATTCCATTTAAATAATAATCTTGAAATGACAAAATTATAGAAATAGAGAACAGATTACTGATTGCCAGGAGTTGGAGACAAGGTACAGGGTGGGAAGTGAGGTGTGTGTTTGTACAACATCCCAAGGAATCCTTTCAGTGATGAAAATGTTCTGCACCTTGACTATATCAATGTCAATATTTTGATTGTGATACTAAAATTGTGTTTTTAAAGATGTTACCTTCAGAGGATACTGGATAAGTGGTACACAGGATCTCTATATTGTTTCTTACAACTGCCTATAAATCTATAATTATCTCAAAATGAAAGGTTTAATTTTTACAAAAACTAACCATATTTCAAATCTTAACCAAAAGCACTCAGACCTCAGTGCTAAAGCACCTCGCAAATAATCACAGTTCCAAAAAACAGATCTCACTCTAATTAGTAATACAATAGGGTTTTGGCTACAAGGGGTGAATGACTCTCTCAAAAAGAGGTGAAGACAGTCATTCTGGCCAACGTGAGAGAAGAGATTTCTTTACATAAGAAAGCTATTTTCAGAAAGTGGGATGGCAAAAGAAATTACAAATACTAACACAAGAACTGTTCTTGTCCAATACACTGAGCTGGGTACCCCAAGTGATAGTCCATCTCTACAAGCTAGGGCTTTCATGGGGAGGAATAACAGCCTCTGTGAAATCGGATCTGTTTGCCATTTAGATCCATGTGACTCACGGAGGCTGGCTGCACTCATATCTAAAAATACAGGAAATCCGCAGCCTAAGCAAATTTGGCTCATAGACTCATGGGCTTTTGATTCAAACACTGCACATTTGGAGACAGTGGTTGTATATTTATATCAGCTAGCGGCAAAGGAAGTTCCACTGCTCAAGTGACAGGTATTCAGTTGAAATCTAGAAGCAAAAAGGATCAGAAGATTGATCTGCTTATAAACATTTTATCTGAGAGTTACATGACACCTGCTCAGTATCAGGAACATGAACTCTGAGGTCCTCTGGAGCCTAGAATGATGCCTTTCCTTGAGCATTGGGTGTGTCCCACTAAATACCTGCCCCAAAAGAGAACGGAGGGAGTCATGAGCTATTAAAGAGAGTAGGGTGTGGCGGTCACATGAGTGAGCGAGTACTACTTGGGCCAGCAGCTCTGAGCCTGCAGACACAGAGGGTGTGGTGTCTGGGCCCTGGGATTTTTTATTTTGTCCAGTCCTAACCAGAACCTTTCACAGCAGTGCCTGAAGCCATGACATCTGACCAATGGGGCAGCTGATTTCTGGTGACAGCTTGTGGACACCCCGATTCCTTTGCCACAGGCTGTATCTACTCACAGACCTGGTGACTTTACAGAGTGAGCCCCCCACCCAGAGACCTGCCTGGCAGAGCCACTGCCGCACTTACCCATCAGGACACTCAGCAACTTCTGCACTCTGGAGTTGACCCCCACAATTCGGTATAGCCCTTGCTCGTTGATTCCTGAGGAAAGAAACAGTGATGATTTAATTAGAAGCACGTCAGAACACAAGTCAGGCCAATCCAGCCAAATGCACTTCTTTTTTTTCATTTTCTCAGTCCTTCTAAAAGCTGCACTAATTAAAGTCCCCTGTCATTCAGCTCAGCTCTTAGCAAAGGAGTGGGATTTGGTACAGCTGTCTAGGATTTCACGGATGTGCTGCACACTTCAGCCCTCATGTTAGTTCAGTTGTCAGAGGCAAAAGAAACTTTCCTTTTATCTTGCCAAAGGCAGCATCTGAAGAGTTCTAAAAGATGCAAAATGTGTACTTTTAATCATGTCATATTTAACCAATTTTTAAAATTAAAATGCCAAAAATGGATGATTAAAAATTCATACAACAGAAAAAGACACTTTATAATGTATTTTTACATATAAAATGAAAATATTGAGGTGTATGAACATTTTTAACTTTACAGAATGTTAGCCAAGACTGAGAAATTAGAAGATCCATTCATTTATAATATAAATATTCTTTATCAAAAAAAAATACCACCTTTATTTCATTCAACCCAAGGAACTGTACAATTAGACGAGTAAGGGTTTACTTTTAAATTAAACATCTCAATAATAATCAAAAACCAATCCACTGCAGTGTTTCTGTTCATTGAAATACATGGATTAGATCATCACTGTACCAGTTACAAAAGAAGGCCATTTTGACCAGGTGACGTGAAATGATTTTTCTCCTGTTAGTCCTAGGCCTATCATATCTGACCCCTCTCAAGTAACAGAACTCCGGCTTCCTATTTTATTCCTCTGATGTCCATTCTCCAACCAGCAGCCAAAGCAAACTGTCTAAAGTGTAAATTAGTTTATACCACCTCTTCTCTTAAAACTCTCCAATAGCTTCCCATTGCATTTAGACCATAATCAAAACGACTTACAATGGCCTATCAGGCCTATACTATTGAGCACTGACAATCTCTGATTGCATCATCAACCACATGCATTCTGCTCCACATACTGGCCTTCCTGTCACCCCAACATGCCAAGTTCATGGCCCCACCTCATAGCCTTTGCTCCAGCTGTTTCCTCCACCTGAGCTGCTCTTCTGCCACAGTTTTTCATCATTCAGGTCTCAGCTTAAATGCAACTGCTTCAATCTAATGCATCCCACAATCAACACTGCTGGTCATGCCCTTAACCTGTCTTCTTTCTTTATAGCGGTTAACGATATCTGAAATTATCCTTGTTTGTTTTTCTCCCCACAATAGAATGTAAACAGTAATTGTGTTCTGTTCACCATTATATTCTCAGCCCCTGGATCAGTATATGGTACACAATAATAAAGAAAACATTAAGTTTATATTCCATCAAGGCCAGTACAAAACACTTGGGGACCAAAATACAATCTTCCAGAAGAAATTTGGGAAAGGACCAGTTCCGTAGTACTTTCAGCAAGACCTATGTAGATGTGGAACTAATGAATAAAAAGAAGTAGTTTGGAATGATAGGATTTTACAGCTAAAAAGGACCTGTAAAACCATGTACATCATTCTGCATGATTCATGGACTAGGAGCCCCTGGTCAAAAACTAAATGATGGGTCCCAGGTTACTCAGTGACAGAAAATAACATGTCAGCTTGTGTGCTTGAAAGGTCTGAGGTATCTCTACTTCTATCCTTGTGCTTTCCTGGGACTTTACACAATATCACCTCCCACTGGACAACTGTGGACAAATCCCAGAGAGTATGGGAAGTCTGTTCATTTCTGGTCACCATAAATATGTACGCACATACACACACTGCAATAGGGAGATAGCCACTTTCTTCAACTATTTATGCTAAAATGGCACCTAACTCATACTGTCCTTATTTCTTCTTTGTGCTCAATGAAGACTTTCTTAGAAGTTAAAACACATTATTTCCATTTTCATTTTAGAGGGGGGAAAAGGAACTCGTGCACCTTTTCTCCTACTTATTGTATATATTTTGTAGTTTTACATGAGAAAAAGTTGTCCTTGTGAGCTACTGGTCTGCACTTACCACAGACTTCATGTACAATTTTAAATGACTAGGTTTCCCTTTTGATTTTGGCTGCGGAAAACTGAGATACAAACAGTTGGCCCAGCTCAAGCAAGTATATGAACTTCATCAGGGAGAGATTTTTATTTTGGACTCGCTTTTGGCTCCATTTTTGCACCTCTACCTTTAAACCCTGTACCTTTTAATCCCAGTCTTTGTTTTTCAATTGAAAAAAAAGGTAAATTAAAACTCCTGTTGAAAAATTAGGCTGCATGCAGTGGCTCATGCCTGTAATCCCAGTGCTTTGGAAGGACGAAGTGGGCAGATCACTTGAGGTCAGGAGTTCAAGATCAGCCTGGACAACATGGTGAAACCCTGTCTCTACTCAAAGTACAAAAATTAGCTGGGTGTGGTGGTAGACACCTGAAATCCCAGCTACTCCAGAGGCTGAGGTAGGAGAATCGCTTGAACCCGGGAGGCCAAGGTTGCAGTGACTGTGGATTGCACCACTGCACTCCATCCTGGGCAACAGAGCAAGACTCCATCTCAAAGAAAGAAAAAAGAAAAATTTACCTTACTAACAAAAACTTCAAAAAGACTTAGAAACTACAGTTAAGGTAAATAGATGACTCAAAAGGAAACAGTAAAAATCAGCGGAGAGCCACTGAGAACACAATGAAACCTGTGCAATATGAACGCTCCTCTCCCCCCTGCTCCCAGAATGGGCTCATACTGAGCAGCTGCTTTGTAACTTGCATTTTTTACATAATATAAATAATTTTTTAAATGCCATACGTCAAAAACTGTATTTCCATTGCATTGTTAGTGATTCATAGTTTTTTATTACACAGATGTACCATGGTTGATTTAACCCATTTTTGAGGCATTTGGCCAGTTTCTGAGTTTGTACCTTAACACCACCACTGTGTAAACATCCTTATGGCTCAACCTGCTCCATATCCTTATTTCCTCAAGACCAATTCCCAGAAATGTCACCTACTTCCACTTTATGTTCTCTAGATATATCTTACATACCTTAAGAGCTGCCTTAACTCTTTAAGGGAGGTACAGCAGAAATAACCGAACATTTTTAAAAACGTTTCCACACATTACAACTGTTTTGGAAAGAATATCTTTTGACAGTATATATAAGGGCAGGTTTTAAAATTCTCTCTCTCCCCTCTACTTAATGCTTCACAGTTCTTATTTTTTTAAGTGTATATGTCTTTTAAAGTGTGTATGTCTCAACTCTCTCTTCCCTCTACTTAATGCTTCACAGTCCTTATTAATTTTTTTAAAGTGTATATGTCTCGACTGCTAAGAGTTACAAACCCTGCTTTAAAAGGGAATTTCTTTCAACTACTTAAAAAGGGCTGGTAGGCTGAGAGGCGATAGAGTAAATAAGATTCACATCTCTGACAATGGTTCAACTGAAATCCAGTGGAAAGATGGTTAACAGCTTTTCTCAGGGGTGAGATAGACCAGCACACTCCAGGCTCCAAACTGCTGGGACTGAGGACTCTCCTTTGTGGCAGTCTCTGAAGAAGGGATGGAGACCATCAGGATGAACCAGCTTCCCTGAGCTTAATGTCCTGCTCCTACAGACCTGGGAAAGGTCAGTGTGCAACATGGGCCTAATCTCTTCTCTCTACCTGGGTGGTCCCCAGGGACTAGCTCCCCAGAGCACCTTAGGTTCACAGACCGCAAGATGTCTGCCAGAGAAAATTCAGGGTGTCTGTGAACTTAGACAGGAAAACAAACACATTTTTATCTTCACTAACGTATAACTGACATTAAGCTTTTCCTTCCATGATGGATGTAAGCAAAAAATCACAGGAGCATTAGTGGTACCTGCAACTTGGTCGGAAATCACAGATATTTTCATAACTCATTACAATTATTCTGGATCTCGTGAAATATCACTGCTCCCAAATTAGGTTGGTTTTCAGACCCATTACTATCACTTATAAAGTGTTAACAAAGAAACACATGTATCATGACACCCTGTATTTTTAATATTTTAAAAACTGAATTTCAGTAACTGGCTTCTATAATCATACATATTTCAGATACTTAAAACATTCTTCTGATCAGCCAAAAGTTGGTGACGCGAAATCAGTAAAAACCTCCTGCTTGAGACCAACAGGACTTGTGGAAATCTACTGACAATGGCACTTGGGGAGCTAATGAGTCACTTAAAGTCAGGAAACAGCAGGTAGCAGGTCTGACTCCTCACCAGATGCATGACCTTCCACGACAACAATGCCATCTGTTAAACTACTTTACCTCTGGTTTCCACAGCATGGATGCATTTCCTGATTATGCTGAAACCAATGCTGTCCAACTGCGCAGCTGAAAGAGCAAAAGAAGGGCAGTCAAGTTGCTAGCCATGAAACTGAACCTCAGGATAGGGCTTACCCAATCCAGGATGAATCAATCGCATGTTGTGGCTACATAGCCCTTTAATTTTTCCCAATAACAGTACAGGAATAACACTATAACACTAACAATAGCTGGCAATGATTGAGAGCTTTCCATAAGCTAGGTTTGGTTTTTAAGTGCCTTGCATGTATTATCTCATTTAGCTATCATAGTAACCTCAAATTGTAGGAATCTGCAAAATTATCTTTAATGTACAGGTGAAGAAACAGCAGCACAGGGTGACAGGTGCCTTTACATTGCTGTGCTATTAACAGAAGCTGTAGAACTAACTGCAGTCTCCTTAAAAAAGTAGAAATTGGAGGTTCCAAGATGGCCGAATAGGAACAGCTCCGAAGTGCAGTTCCCAGCAAAAAAAAAACGTGGAGGGTGAGTGCCCACCACATTTCCAAACAAATTTTCACTGCCCACAGACCAGGAGATTCCAGGGCCGAAAAGCACCATGAGTTTTCAGCATGGCAGTTTCAGCCGGTACCGGGTTGGTGCACAGAAACTCACACAAATCTGGGCAGCTGTTTCAACTGGCACCAGAGCCGCCCATTCAACTGAAAGAGAGGGGGCTGAGACAGGGAGCCAGGCGATCTGGCTCAGCAGGTACCACCCCCACGAAACAAGCAATCTGAAATGCTCTGGATTGAGAGTTTCGCAGCAAGCCGAGCTAGACCCAGGACAGTCCAATTCAGTGGGGGTGGGGGAAGGGCAACCCCCACTACCAAGGTAGTCCACCACTGCCAAGGCAGTTCACACAGCAGCTGAGCAGAGCCTGTGGCAGCTCAGCAACACCTCTGCTGGCAGACTGTGACTAGACTACTCCATGCGGGGCAGGGCATCTATGAAAAAAGGCAGCAGCACAACAGGAACTTATAAATAAAGCTGAGCTTCCTAGGACAGAGCACCTGGGAAAAGAGGCAGTTATGAGTTCCGCTGCAGCAGACTAAAAATTGCCTCCCAGCAGCTCTGCATGGAACAACGGAGCTCCTAGCACAGCACTTGAGCTTCTATAAGGGACAGACTGTCTCCTCAAGCAATTGCCTGACACCCATATACCCAAAGAGACACCTCATAAAGGAGAGCTCAGGTCAACATCTGACAGGTACCCTTCTGGGACAAAGATAACAGAAGAAGAAACTGGCAGTAACCCTTACTGTTCTGCAGCCCCCATGGGTAATCCACAGGCAAGCAGGGTCTGAAGTGGACCTACAGCATTCCTGCAGCAGAGGGGTCTGACTGTTACAAGGAAAACTAAGAAACAAAAAGAAATAACTTCATCATCAACAAAAAGGAAGTCCACTCAGAGACCCCATCTGAAAGTCACCAACTACAAAGACCACAGGTGGATAAAGCCACTAAGATGGGAAGAAACCAGCGCAAAAAAAGGATGAAAACACCAAAAACCAGAATGCCTTTCCTCCTCCAAAGGATCACAACTCCTCACCAGCTAGGGATCAAAGATGGATGGAAAATGAAGCTGAAGAATTAACAGAAACAGGCTTCAGAAAGTGGGTAATAACAAACTTCTCAGAGCTAAAAGAACATGTGCTAACACAATGCAAAGAAACTAAGAACCTAGAAAAAAGGTTAGATGAGATGCTAACTAGAATAAACAACTTAGAGAACAACATAAACAACTTGATGGAGCTGAAAAACACAGCACGAGAACTTCGTGAAGCATACACAAGTTTCAACAGCCAAACTGACCA